CTCCGGACCTCCAAAATGCATTCCGATCACGCTCCTAAGTCCCAAATTATCTAACGGAGCTAACCAAATCATAAGAATTCCAATCCGAGTTCATATATTAACAAGTCAAAATTTGGTCAACCTTTCAAATGTTAAGCTTCAACTGAGAACTGCTCTTCCAAATTTATTATGATTATCCTGAAAACCAAAACCGACGATTTACATAAGTCATAATACATCACACGGGGCTAGTCATGCCCGAGAACTGGCGAAAAAAGTGTAAAAGCTCAAAGCGATCGGCCGGGTCGTTACAGTAAATCACATGTTGTCACATTCACATCATGAATGAACCATAATCATCTATACGTGCTTTACAAATCTCATGTCAAATTGATAAAAAATATTACTTTTACAGAGTGAAGGATTATTTTGAGAATCCTTATTATTCTCATTACCACAATGATAACGATTATAACTTCGTCTATTGCCACGTACACATCCATTGATACCTTCACGATAATAATTTTGTCTTCTTTCAGACTTATTACATATTGCTATCACATTCTCTTACGGGAACGAGAATGAAGCAAATCCAATGAGACGAGTTTCCACTTCTTATGCTCAGAATCATATTTGAATTTGATCATGGCAAGGCATAGAAGTTTTACCACTTCTGATGGTTATAATTCTTACAAACTCTATTAGAGTTATAATCAAAATTTATTGTTTTTGATTGTATTTTAGAATCAAATTATAGAATGTCAAGAATTTCAAAAAGAAAAATAAGGTAAAATATTACCTTAAATTCAGAGTTTATTCCTGAAGGAAGTTCATGGATCAATTGACAATCATTATGCTCAATATTATGTACAAGTTGAGCATCATGCATGCATCCCAAAGCCCCTACTCAATTGATTGGAGTCTCGTGTTGATAACGTATTATAAAACAATAAAAGAAGAAAAGAGTATTGTAGAGAAAAGTAGAGAGAGCAAATTCTTATTGATTTGGGATGAATTATAATGGAATAGAACACCTCTATTTATATGGAAAAAGTGGCTTAGCCACCAAGTAACAAACTCTAAGATCTCTCTAAAATATAGCCATTCATCTTAAATATAGTTCTATTTATAACACATATATTATTATAGCAATTATCACTACTAGAAATCCGGTAATTAGCGACCAAAAAACTGACCAACTTTGGTCGGTTATGGCCAATTACAGACCAAAATGCGACCAAATACGCTTGGACGATATTTTGGTGGTCGCTTTAGTATACCGACCAAAGTTGGTCGGTAAATTAAATTCAAAAAAAATATTGCAAAAAAAACCGACCAAAGTTGGTCAGTTTTTTCCGATCAAAGTTTGTCGGTATTTTAATTATGTAATCAAAAGATTCACCGTCTGGAAATCGAACCGGGGTGTGTATTGTGGCACGATACTATTCTACCACTAGACCATTGGTGCATTTTGTTTTAAGATTGTCTTTTTTTTATTATACTCTTTAATTATATTTTCGCATGGAAATAACCGACCAAAGTTGGTCGGTTTTATTAAAAAATAAAATTACTGACCAAAGTTGGTCGGTTTTTTAAAATGACTGGCCGAATTTAAAGACCAAAGTTGGTCGGTTTTCTTAATATTAATTTTTATTTATTTTAATTGCAAAAACAGACCAAAGTTGATCGGTTTCTTGAAAAATAAATTTTGCGGGACTCAAAAATATTTTCCCGCATTTTTGCGCCAAAGAAAACCGACCAAAGTTGGTCGGTTTCGTAAAAAAAATTAAAAATTAAAATATTTTGAAAACCGACCAACTTTGATCGGTTTTTGCCGAATTTCTAGTAGTGTATAGAGCTTTTTCAGTAGTAAAGAAAGAGCACATTTTTCCAATGTGCAATGTTGGTAGTTCTAGACTTCAAGGTTCCACGTGCAACCAAAATAGATTAAATTTCATGACTTGGTTGACATTTCTATCAAAATTAATAATCTTATAATGGAGTAAAAATTTTATTTTATGCTAGCATTGACGTTGGAAGTATTTCACTAGTCCGTTTCAATTTATGTGACAGCGTTTAATTAGACAAGTAGTTTAAAAAAAAAACTTTTAAATTTGTGTGAAACAAACCTTAGAAATATATGTGGTTATAAATCATCTCATTAAGAGTAAAATAAAAACTTAAAGGTAAATTAATGCTAAATATAAAAATATATCACTCTTTTAAAGAAAAAAACTAAAACAAAAAGATTATCATATAAATTGGGATAAAAGGGGTAACAAATAAGTTGAAATTAAAATTTCGAGAAAACCAATATCAAATATTTTTTTTAACGTTAAAAGGAAGCTTATATTACTTAAAAACAAAAGCATTACATAATTGCCACATAGTCCCGAAGGACATTACTAATATTTATAGCAGGTAGGCTATTACAAACATTGGTAGGTAAAAACTTAGTACCAAAACATACTCCTTGCTTATCCTTTTCTAATGCAGCTTCAACAAAAAAAGGTGGACAAGCAAGGTACACACATTTTGTAGGCTTGAAGTGGTTTATGGCTTCCTTTGCTAGTTGATGTGCTACACCATTTCTCTCCCTGAAGTTATGCCTGATCGTTGGTACTTTCAATTGGTGTATTAATGACCTGCAACTAAGCAATGTATTATTAGTTAGGGCATTGTCCTCATTTAATAATTTTATCATTTCTGAGGAGTCCAATTCTATTTCCAGTTAGGGGAACATTATATACAAAGCAATTTGAAGACCTTGCTCCAGTGCTAGTAGTTCTGCCTGCAAAGAAGATGCTGCATAACATGATTTATAAAAGCCCATGATCCAGTCACCCTTGTTATTTATTAAGGCTCCTTCTACGCCTGCATGCAAGTTTGCTTTTGAAGAAGCACCATCTATATTAAGCTTAACTATGTTGTGAAGCGGCTTAGTACAACCAATCTCTATTTTGATTTTTGTTTGCTGGAGGGGATTTCCTTCCATGAAGAAATTATATTCCCATGATTGATGGAGAACTTGTGTTACACAAAGATCCAGGTCCAGGTTATTATAATCGTTATTATTCCTATTTTTTCAAAGGTTCCAAATGGCAAACAGGAGAATATTTGCCCATTGGTAATTTTGGTTTCTGCCTTGCAAAGAGGAATTTTTTACGACATTAACCAATGAAAATTATTAAGAGTAGGATCCAGAGTTGAGGCAAACGCACCCAAACAGTTGTTTGAGAGACTTTTGCTTCTGATGCTTCAAAATTTGGTTCCCATTTTTGGACTGACAAGAAGTGACCAAATACGAACCAAGGGCCATAGTGTAAGGCTCTCAACATGCTTTCTTCATTGTTGAATTTAGTGATGCAGTAGTCAGACCCTAAGTCAATTAGAGGAAAGTTTTCCTTAATTTTCCATAGTTCTTGTATCTTTCTTTTGAGGAGGTGGTGTTGAATTCTTCTCCCTTGAAGTTTGATGGTGGCCGAAAATCTCCATGGTTGATAGATTCGCTGAAAATCCTCTTGAGATAGTTCAACTTGTCGGTCCTTATTGACCGGGAACAATTGGTTGTTTTGCCAGTTGTTTTAAAAGTGAGATGTGAAATGCACACTTGAGTCAGTGAGCATGTTAATTGAAGCATTATGTTCACCCTCTACTAATTTTTCTTTAAAACTTGGGATAGATATGGCTGCTTTTGTTGTAGTTTGATCACTAGCAATGTCCGGCGGTTTGGGGGGAATTAGATGAACTAGGTTGTATTCTTGCATGACGAGTAGGTTTTCTTTAGTGAGAGAGTTTTAGACGGTTCTTATTCCGACCATGTGCACCAATATCAAATGTTATGAATATCTCAAAAAAAGTTGGAGATTATAGGAATATGTAAGAATTGATATTTCTCTCTCTTTTATTTTATTTTTTTATTTTTAGTTAAATTAAGATTTTTATGTTTTTCCTGAAAAGGAAAATAAAATCTCTATTAATATATATATTTACTTCAAGCGACGTCAGTTTTGAGTGACTAACAACCTCTTGTTTTGGTATAATAAACTACAGAACAATAAGATAAGCTAATCATCATTCGAATGTGTTTGGTGATACTTGATTGCAAGTTTGACAATATCATTTACCAACCTAATATTTATCGATAGTATTTACTTGTTTAATTATCGATTTGAAAAATAGTATACGTGTAACTCATTTTAGTATTTACGGTTTTAAATATGATAACTTGTCCAAGACAAATGTGAAATAACTACAAATTTTAATGAGCATATGATGTTAGTCCACACAATATTTTTTATTTATCAATTTATTATGTATTATTTACTACGTACAGTACTCGTAATATCATAAACATAAATATTGCGATAATACATAATTTTTCTCCTTGCAGGGGTTCTATAACTCCCCCTATATTTGTTTGAAGTGGTATAAGTATCATCTATTGTGACCAACACCAATTTTCTGGAAGGTAGTGTAAGTCACGCACCTATTACATTTTTTCAAATAATTTTGTTTTTTAAAAATTGTTATTTGTTTCCAGCATCAATCTGAAAGTAGGAGTAGGTTTGGTTGAAGTTTAGTTATTATGCCCGAATTCAATTGACTGAGCTTTATGTAAAAATATGTATAAAGTTTTGGTTGATTCCAAATTGTTTGAAGTTTAGTTTGCCCGGTAGCTTTGGCAACCAAAACTTCAAATGATTATATTTGAAATTATAAAGAACAGGGCCGTCTCGCTTGGAAGATTTTGGTGGTGTAGGTTTGATTTTTAGGAATAAAATCATGTGAAATTGGTGACGGAAATGGAGAAGATATCGGTAATGGAGGAAATCGGATATGGGAGAAAGAAAAAGGAAGAAAAGAAAAGAAAAGAAAAGAAAAAAGAAGAAAGAAAAGAGAAAGGTAAAGAAAAAAAAAAGTACTAATAAAATGGAGATAGTGTTTATAATATATTTTAATACAATTAAAGAAAGAGCTAATTAGGTTGGGTGGAATCCGTTTTGAAAAGTGCATATATAGACCAACTATATGACGGTAAGGACATATATGGACCAATTATGTGACGATAAGGACATATATGGGCTAAAGAATTAACAAAGGACATATATGCACAATTTCCTATACTAGAAGGGCATATTTGGACCTTTTCAAGCATCATGAAATTAACGCTCTTTTGGCTGTATTCTCGACCCCAATTTCCCATTACAGTCGTCATTACCCAGAATTTCCCCATTGATACACTCATTCTGAAAAGAAAAGGGAAGATTTTCTTCTAGAAGTTTCTGGTCCTTTTACTGTGGGTACTGAGCTTCGCTGACCTGAGTGGAAGGAACTTGATGGGCAAGACGAAATCGGAGAAGCGGGACATTGCTTCTTACACTATAAATGGCACCAACAAAGTCGTAAGACGTAATAATACTTTCTCCTTCTCTTCTACGGGTGTCTTTGTGTGTGTCTCTGTGTGTGTGCGCGCCTGCATGTGTGCCTGCTTTTGTGTGTGTGTGTGCGCGTGCCTGTTTTTGTGTGTATGTTTGTGTGTGTGGTGTGTTTGTGTGTGTGTGCGCGCGCGCTTGGATAGTTGGATGTATTTAATTAATCTATTTATTCAAGTTATTTTTCATGATTTGTTGTGTGCATGTGGATGCAGCTGCTTGCTAGTATAGATGGTCCTAAGCACGATAATACCATAGTTGTAATGATATTATGTAATCTGACTTTCAAAGGAGGATTTTGAGTTCGGGATTCTACCACAACTCATTTGATTTACTGGGTTCGAAATTAATTATTTGTACAGATTTAGTAGATTGTTAACATATATACAGAGGCCGATCTAGGATTTTAAGTTTATGGGTTCTGAATTCTAGGACAGGATAACTTACTGGGTTCGGGATAGATTATTTATACTTATTAAATGGGTGTTTTAACACAAATTATGGGTTTGTGCTAAAGCTATTGATTTTTGCCAAACCAATAAACTATATTATAGATCCGATCCTGCACATATACAGGGTGTGAGCCAAAGCTACTGGTTTCCTCTTTAGTACTCTACGTCTGCCTCTGGATTTATGCCGTCGAGTGCAAGTAATTTGGTATTGCAGAGTATTTGATTGATTTCAAGTGTTCTCCTATGGTTCATTGGAATAACGCCTTTTTCATTATGTCTTTACCGAGTAGAAATCGACCATATAGTATATTTTTCGTCATGAATTCTGTTGCAGTTCATCAAGTTTTGTCTTTTTAAATTATCCAGTCTCAATGAAAAGGAAAGAAAAACTCAAAAAAGAACAAAAGAAGGTTCACGTAGATATGCCCGCTAAGAATTTTGATGAGATTTGGTGCATTCTTTTTCTTTACACTTGCAGCGCTTTTTCGAGTCCAAAACTTAATTAATAATTTTTTGAACATAAAATACATTTTTGATGTTAAAAAAAAAAAAGATACAATAATGGGTATTTCGCAGTTCTATACTGCGAATTGGCTTAACGGATTTTTTGCCGTTAAGGCATTTCGCAGTATAAAACTGCGAAATATTAAAAAAAATAATTTTTTATGACATTTCGTAGTACAGTACTGCGAAATAGGCTGATTTTAGGCCCCACCAATAATTAACTGACATAACAATAATTCAAATACATAAAACGCAGTATAATACTGCGAATTACTTTGAAAAATTGTACACCCCAGGGTCGGACTTGCCTTATTTATAGGCGCTTCAATTTTATAAAAATTCATTCAACACTTAAACTTCAAACATACGTTTATTCTCTCTTCTCCTTATCAATCAATTTTTTACAATGTCTGAAGTGCCAAAAATAAGGGTTTCACTGTATTGGGGGGGGGGGGGGGTGAGATTGTGGTGGAGAATAACTCTGTGAGGTATAGCTCACCTCCTCAGTGTCATGTTAAATTGCCGCTTAATATGGAGTACGATACATTGGTATCGTTGCTACGTAAAAAGATGAGTGAGCGGAGGCGTTCGGTTAGCCTTAAAGTAACCGGTAGATTTCCTTATTCAGTGACTCCGCAGGGGTTTGCTTATTATTCTGAGTTTAACATCGAGGATGATGAAACTCTTAGAGATTTTTTGCGGATTCCGGATGAATACAGGGAATTTATTGTAATAAAATTATTGGAAATGTACGTCAAGGTGGAAGACGTTCCTAGTAATGAGGGCGTGCATAATAGGGATAACCCCCAGTCATCGGGTGGTTATTCTGGAGCAGCGTTTGCCGGACAGATTGGAGATGAAAGAGCTTGTCTTGATTTAAACTTGTCACCACAGGCGAATGAGCAGCCAGAAAATAATGTTTCCACTTTATATAATCAACAAGACGACTGGTAAACTTCAATTTTACTACGTTTTAGCGATTTTTTTTTTCATGTTTTAATTGGATTTGTATTAACACTCATATTTTTTATAGGGGGTACCGTCCGGATTTGAATTTTTCAAGTTATGACCTCGCCCCTAGTTGGAATCTGCGTAGGTCTGGAGTATTGGACCACGGTGGTCCATCTGGGAGTTATCACCAACCTGAAAATATCCATCATGAAACGTCAAGACAATACGATTTGTAAGTAAAGTGATATAGCGATATCTAAAGTATTTTTCCTGAGTATTTGGTAACTTAGGTTTTTGTTCGTTTTGTGCAAGTGAAAACGAGCTTCTTGAAGCTCCTGGCCTCACACAGTTGCCCATAGACGATGTTTTTGCTCGTGATTTGGCAGATGCGCAGAGTCAGGAGGATGATAGTCATTATGACAACAATGCGGATGAGTCTGGGGATGAGACACCCTTCCATGATGAGGGTGATGATGAGGAGGAGGAAGTGAATGTTGAACCTGAGCTGACTAGGGAGCATGTTCCTCCACCTCCCGCTAGACCAAGAGTGTATGAGTCCCACGTGCCATTTCATGAGCGAAATATTCCCTACCTTGATAATTTGCCAAGCATGCCTAACGTTGATGCCCTAACAAGGGATGATGAAGAATTACGGTCAGTGATGTGGGATGAATCTAGACCAGCTGTTCTTACAAAGGGCATGTATTTCTCCGATAAAGCTCGCCTAGTTAGGGCTGTAAAAATCTACAGTATAAGGGAGTGTCATGAGATGACGGTAAGTGAGTCAACTACGGAGAAATACAAGGCTGTATGTCGTAGGTGGTTTATGGGTTGTCACTGGATGCTGCGTGCCACAAAGAAGAAATCAGGTTTGTGGAAAGTGGGTAAATTTATTAGCGAGCACAGATATGAAATGGACACATTCAATGAGAATCACTTCAACTTGGATGTGGACTTGATTTCCCTTGTCTTGATTCCATTTTTGGAAGTGTCCATTAGGTTCAAGATTAAAGAGTGTATTACAGCCGTCCACCAGGAGTATGGTTGTACTATAACCAAAAGAAAGGCATATCTCGGTCGCAAACGTGCCTTTGAACTTATTTATGGCGACTGGGATAAGTCTTTTTTCAAATCTGCCCAGGTACATGGCTGCACTGCAACACTTTAACCCCGGGACTGTTGTTGAATGGAGGCGTGAGCGAAGTCCGGACAGACCGGAATATATATTCAACTATGTATTTTGGTCATTTAAACCAGCAATTGATGGTTTTGTGCATTGCCGTCCTGTAATTTCCATAGACGGTACTCATGTCTATGGAAAGTATGATATTAAGCTTTTGACTGCAGTTGCTGTAGATGCCAACGGACAAATATTTCCACTAGCTTTTGCCATTTGTGCCAACGAAAGTGAAGAGACGTGGACGCAGTTCTTGAACCACTTGAAGCAGCACGTTGTCAAACAGCGTTCAGGTATTTGTCTAATATCTGATCGACATGGTGGTATTTTAAGTTCTGTACGTCACTTGCCTGAATGGCAGGAACCATATGCATACCACCGTTACTGTGTGAGGCACCTGAAGGCCAATTTCCAGAAGAAATTTCCTGACAAGGCGTTGCATGACTTAATGTGGATGGCTGCAACTGAGCACCAGCAGTGTAAATTCACGAGGCGCATGGAAGCGATCCGGCAGATAGAACCACGAGCCTATACTTGGTTGATGCAACATGACCCTCAAATGTGGACATTGCATGCTGATGGCGGCAGACGATGGGAAGCCCTCACTACAAACGTGTCGGAGTCATTCAACGGCTTGTTGAAGTTTGCCCGTGGACTGCCTGTCACTGCCATGGTCCGCATGACTTTCAAACAGAGTGCAGAGAGGTTTGTTGAAAGGCATGCAGCTGCATCGTCATTGATGGACAGGGGTGTTGAATTTATGCCAATACCCATGACAAGATTTGAAAGGTACAGGAGGCGGGCACAGTGGCATTCATTTCTTCAGTATGATCATGAACGGGGTGTTTTTGAAGTTAAAACCGCTATCAACGGACACCGTGGGAATAATCTACAGACGGTGAATGAAAATAGAAGGTTATGTTCATGTGGGAAATGGACCATCTACCACATGCATTGAAGTGCTTTCAACAAGTTGGATATGGGGCAACAAACTACATTGATAGGCAATACAGTGTTGCAGCATACGTAGACACGTATAATGGGAAGTTGCATCCATTAGGTGCTGAGTATTATTGGCCGCCGGAACCTTTTAAGTTGGTATGTAACAAGGACTATTTGCGCAAGCTGAAAGTGCAAAAGAGAACGCGTATACGGAACCAAATAGATGTTGGTGAGTCCGTTTATGCGCATAAATGTGGCATATGCTCTCAAACTGGACATGACCGTCGTAAGTGTCCTTCAGGTGGTGGGCGTGGCGGTGGTAATCCTGGTGCAAGTTCGTCCAATGTACCCAACTATCAAGCATACCCCTAGTCCTTTATTTTGAAAAAGCTGAGAAGCATGTGAAAACCCTGTTTCGTGTCAGGGTCATTTAATATGTTATTCGTAGTATAATACTACGTTTTGTGGATTTGACATGTCCTGCTGAAAAAGCTGAGAAGCACGTGGAAGCTCTATTTTAAGTCATTGAAATTTACTATGTAATTCGCAGTATTATACTACGTTTTTGTTTGAAATCTTGACTATAAATAACGGTTGCATGGTACTTATATTCTTCGCTTAACAATAACCAAAGTTTCTCTATAAGAAATGTCTGCACAAAACGTTTATGTCCCAAGGTGCTACTGCGGAGAAAAATGCAGTTTGTTCAAATGGTATCCAGAAGGTGCACGCCGCTACTGGGCATGTAAGAACAAGCTCGAGGAGTTACCCGGCAAGCCTACATGTGACTTTGAGGTTTGGATGGACGAACCATGTAAGCAAAAGCGCTACAAAGAAAGAATTTATGAGCTTCATTGTTTATGTCATAGCCAAGCGGAGAGCGAGCGTCGAACCAATGAAGAACTTGAGGCGTTGAAGGCCAAACTCAACGAGGCAGAAGAAGAGAAAAAA